TGCAATAAATGTCGATATATTTAGACTTGAAATGATTAAAATCACTCTATTATGATGTGTACCAGTATTGAAACGATCTTATCATATGATTATATCAGTAGAACATTTTTAATGATCTATGGAACAATGTAGTCATTCGGTATGAAATTTGAGACACGACTTTTTACTCTCTCATATGTACCAGTTAATTATAGACGTTAATCTTGCATCAATTATTTTAGCTTCGCTATTCGTGATCTTCTTAATTATATTACTGCTCAAAAAAAGAATTCGAGCTAGTTTGAATTGATTCATTTTTTGATCGTCATGTTTGAAATGAAACTTTTCCTATAGGGATTTCTTTTATTTGATGAATCTAAATGAGACAATCGATTGTTATCAACATTTTTTAAAGATATAGTAAAAATAGATAAAACTGTTGAAAATTCAATGAAACGAACATTCCAAGTTATATACATTTTAAAACAAGCTCAATGAAAAAAAAGAAATATTGTTATGTTTTCTTCTGACTAAAATGATAAATATTGTATATTTTACAATGGAAAAATTTTCATTAAAAAATATTATATTCGATGTTCATTCAGATGATTTAATCTGTATTATTGGACCTGGTAGATCTGGAAAAGTTTGTTGTCTTTTTCAACTTGCATATAATTTTACTTTTGATGGATCATTTTGTTATGTACCACAAGAATCATGTAAGTGGATTATTATTATTGAAAATTCCTTGAAAGATTACTTATTGTATTAATAGGGATAATCTCGTTATCAGTAAAAAAAATAATATTCTTTTGGTAAAAAATATAACTATAAGTTGTTTCAACGTGTTGTCCATGGAATTGCTCTTGATACAGTAGGTCAATTTTCATTCTTATAAGAGCTATTTCAAGCAAAACAGAACATACCTATCTTTCATCAGATTCTGATTCTTTACAAGAGTAATTTTTCTGAATACGTTCTTTTAGCATAGACATGCAGAAATGTTAACTCTTTCAGCTGACTATTAATTACAAATTTAGTAGCAAATATCTCTCTATTTATATGAGAAAAAATTTCGAAAACGTCAGAATAAACTTTATTGGTGTGGATATGAGCGTCAACTCATCTCTATTCACACTCACACCCACTCCATATATAACACATTCAATATGTGTAGTTGGAATTCGGAGTACATGAATTATAGAATTCTAGATCCTGGAGGAGTACATGTTATACCCGTATGTACGCAGCTTTGAAATGAAAATGTCTAGTTCTAATCAACACGAACAAGAATAACATGAGTGAAGACGGCGGTGACGACTAATACAGCGGCATATCAATCTTCCATGCGATCGAGTGCTAATTATCTTTTGTCGTAATCATTGGTCTTGGTTTATTTATTTTTGTTTATTTAATAAATATATAAAGCAAAAGCAATTGAAGAGAGCACCAAAAGAGACAAAATAGTCAGAGAATGAAGCAGAAAAGCAATGATTAGACGACGGATTTTCGTCGAGCGTTGGCGGTTTTAACTAATTCGTCGACTTCATTCCAACCGATTTCAATCAAACAATCGATTAGTTTGAGATCATCATAAATGCAAGCGACATATTGATGACCGACAATTGGTACTGGTGGTTTGGTCGGATTGATGAGACCACTGTCCGTTTCCTTGTTACTGAGAAGTGCAGGAATACTTTCACCTGTCAATAGAATTCCAAATAAGATCATATTCGAACGATAAAGAAATAACGAACCTAGTTGTTCATAAGTATATGTTTCATAGTTTCGTAGACACGTCCTTTTAAATTTCGAATTGAATTTCGATCAAACTTGAGAATGAAATGATCTTTGGGTGGCATTGCATTCTCCGATGGTCCTTTCTTCACTTCGCATAATGTTGCCAGAAAAGCCAATTTCGACTTTTCAATATGTTCTAAAGCCGTAGCTTTACCTTTCAAGATTCCCATGTTGTACAAAGTGGATTGTCTTTTGTCAAATAACTTATGTATGTGAAGAAAAGAAATAGAAATAATTCTAGCAGTGAATCGTTGTCGATCTTTTCTAGATATACCAAATGAAACAGTTCTCGTTTCATGAGTAACAACAGAACAAGAAGGATGAAAAAATGTTGTCAACAGACAACTGACAAGTAATATTAAAGTATCTTATCAATTCCGTCTTGTTATTATTAGATATTACTCCTCGTTTGAATCCTTCTTTTCTCTCTTTAATTAACTTTGTTTGTCTAGCAATGCAATATGTTGTCAAGAGCGATGAGATCTATTAGATTCAATTAAACAAAACAGAATTTTAGTGTTTTTCCCCACTTGACCCTGATAACTCGCACAATGCTGATGAATCATGTAAGAACGGTCATCGTGTCTGTCGCGACTACTTCTTCACTTATATCATCCATTGAATTCGATTTCATCCTTGTGATGCTAATTATATCGATAGAGACTAAGAAAATGAGACTAATATGCGAAGAACTTCAAGGCAAATGAGTCGAAACAAGATGAATCATAGGTATGATGATTGATGACACGGTATTCAACTATTGTCAAGGTCGAACGATATCAAAAAAGATTTACAATTTAAAATAGTTAAGAACAAGATATTTTTCAAATGAGATTTGTTTTCATATAATTACTTTAATTGATATTATTAATAAAATGTTTTCGTACTGATTTTCTGTTTCGACATGAAGGATGATTTTTCATAAAGATCTGTAAGAGATGTCAGTTATACCAACTATTATTCATCGATCAATTATTTAGACATTTGTCGCATTCTGCGTGAGCAGGGTGTGGATGCATGCGTAAGATACATTCATACCCTTAAAAATCTATTTTTTTCTTCTCATAGTCTTAACTATGAATAGATTTCACCCAATAACTTGTCTCTAACTAAGAATAACTATTTGATGACAAAAAAAAGTATCATAAGAAAACTGAAATGATACCCTAATTCAATCATATTTCTAATTCTCTCTCAGGATAAAATCATAAAAAAAGCTGATGCTTCTTGCCTACATTCTAAAACAAGTTCAATACCAACTTTTGTAACATTTGAAAGAGATCTTCTGAGATTTTGTTAGAATCTCTATTTTTCTATATAAAGATCCAACTATGATAAAGATAAAATGGTAATAGGGCTCCTACATTCTGTCAGGTTCTGAACGAAAAATACAAAAAAATTTGAAAAATTCTTCTATTTATCATTGTTGAGACATTACTCCGCATTGATATTGAAATTTGTTTTGTGATCTAAAGATTTGCAAATCTTGCTTATAAATCTTGATAGAATCCGAAAAATCAAATTCTGAATGCATTCTAAATACAAATTTGCAAACATCTAAACTGAATCCTCTTATTTTCTCTTCAAGATTCTGTGGGTGTGAGTCTTGACAGTATTGCCATTATAAGAATTTTACATGTCATTCATATCTTCCGTTCTCAAGAAAGTAAAAAATGAAGTTGACTTTTTTTCTCTTATCAACATTCAGGATATAACTGTTATCAACGAAGTAAATTTGATTAATTATTACAGAAATCTTTTAAAAAGCGTAAAAAGGGATGCTTGATCAAGTGAAACGAAGAAAAAAATCAGGATGACCGTTTATTTGAATATTATAACCATCTGTACTGTGATTTAGTAAGTAAGTTCTCATCTGAAAATCCAAGTGTAATGACACCATCCACTTTTTGTCCTTCTTCTTTGATACCAATATATTGAACCACCATTGATGTATATCATCGTACACTAAATTCTGACATCACATTTTCCTTTTGATTTCCAACCACTGCTCTTATTTACTGATATATCCATCCAAGTTGAATCATGTTATATTGCTCTTTTCTTATCTTATAATTTGTTATAAAATCGAACTTCAATTGTGTCTTTGTAAACAAAATTCTATTTACAAAGCCAAACTGTGCTATAGCAACTGTATTAGATGATGAACCTCGATATTGTACTTGAATTGTATCTGAATTATTAGAAGATGACAGTATAACTTTTCCTGGACTACCAACATACTGTGTCAATTGATCACGTGTCCAGTCAAATTGAATTTGTTGATATTGGGTGTGGGTGTGTGGGGTGTGGGTGGGTGTGTAATTGAAGAGATATCACACACCCGCTCCCCACACCCACACTCACACCCTCTAATTGTGATAATTTTTTTGGCTTGATTGCTTTAACAAGAAGTATCATGCTCTAGAATAAAGGACTCAAAAAAATTAGCAAAGGCAGAGTAGATGACATAATTATGTTTAACCTCGAGTCTAAGAAAAAAAGCAAAAGAACTTGCTTTTCTACACAGTTTCATGTTAGAATACAGTGTGGCCCACCGATGGACCACATCGCCGCGAAAGGGTTAAAGCTTTAGAAAAGTGTCAGTGCAAATGATTTAATGACTCATTCTGGTGATTCAATTTGTTTAACGTCAAATATTGTCAGTGTTACATCGACTTATGGTTGCTCCGATAGAGATTTTCATAATAAGGATGAGGCTGGGGGCGAAGATGAAGCGAAAACCCTCATATCCTTCCACTCAGCATCCTCATCCTAACCCACCCTCACTCCTGAGAAATACTCTAATACTCTTTCTCACTCACCTGCTTCATTCTTATTCCCAGTCACCCATTCTTTTTTCTGAAAGCATCCACTGTCTTTCTCTCATCAATCCTTCTTTTTTCTTCGATATTCTGATCTTTTTTTTATTTTCGCTCCAGTATTTACCTGATTGGTTTGCAATTGTAGTTCTGTCGTTATCGATTTGCTAATCTTTGTATTTTATCTTTTAAATCAATCTAGTCACACATAGAAAAGCAATATGCAATTAGAATGAATTTAGTTAAGAGTCATACAGAGCAAATCTGAAATACTTTATAAGCCAAATCGATATTTGATATTTCGAGAAAGGATTTTGCAATCATTATTGACTTGTATTTAATATCAATGCTATCACCAGTCATAGCTTTTACATCAGTTTATCAATATTTAGAAGTCTGTAGATGAAAGCAATGTCATTATTTTTCATCATCATATCATATTTCCTTCTATTTGAATGTGCCAATGGTATACCATTAGCAAGAGAATGCACTGGAAATCCAAGAGCATGTGATGATGGTACGGTATGTTTTAATAAATCGACCTCTTACTCCGGTTGCTATAAGAAATGTCCGAGTGGCTGGATATGTAATGCCGGAGGTAAGACTATTTCACGATAATTTCCAACGAAGAGTATTTATTTTTCTTTCTGATAGATATATTGTGTAATAAAGCGGTTGAAGATTTGGTACAAGAAGTAGAAAACTTGAAAGATGATAATATTGTCAATGGCTTTGCAATTAATCAATTGTGTATTGGCCAAACTGCCTGTAAGACTAGAGAAAAACTGGAAAATCCATCATGGTTCGATAATGTTCTTAATACATTTGTTGAACCATATATTCAACGAGCTGGAAATTGGAGTAGTGTTATTAGAAAATGTCATGATCAATGGTCAGTGATTCCTGTTGTTGGAAAGTATCGATGTCAAGAACTTATGGCCGATTATCATATTGCTCAAGATCTTCAAAATGCCGTCAATAGACATGGATGTGGAACACAACACGATTGGGATTTAGTGGGTGAATACATTAAAGATTGTGTTAAAAAATCCCATATTGGAGTACCATTTGGTGAAACTTATGCTATATCAGAAGTCATTAAAAATCGAAATATCGTTCGTGAAAAATGCAAAAAAGTACGAAAACCACTTGGTCTTCAAATAGAATTTTGAACGATTCATACGGATTGCTTAGAATCTTTCAAACATATGTTGGTATAGCTGTTAAAAAAAACAAAATAAAACATCCTCCAGAATATTAGAAAACGTGAGGTTGTGTAGTGAGGGTGATGAACTCTAATCTATTTTTGGTTAAGTATTCTATCACTCAGATTTATGCCAAGACTAATTTGTAAATGCTTCGTGTAGGACCCACTGTTCCTATGCTCATGTGCAGCCGTTAGTACGCATGTTTCAACTGTTATGATGCATGCACAAAAAATTCACAACTTAGCTCCAATTGAGATGTTTTTTTTTCGATAGCAAACTGCATTTTTCAACATATCGAAAGCTCTAGACAGTCTGGTTATTCTTATTTCTATTCATTTAGCAAGCATCCGATCTCGTGAAATTATCATCTGTATTTGTACTGGAGTCGCCGAATACTATTAAATTTCACTTGTAAACACATAATAGACCTTTATGATAAACAGTGAAAATGACAGACAAACAATTCTTCATGATTATCAATGTGTGATAACGCAAACGTAGACTACACACAAGAGAATATTCGGCAGTAGATAGAAACTATACTTTTCAAGATTTCAAAAGCACTCAAATCATACTCTCGGTTGGCAAAGGTCACGAAGAAATTAACAGCTGTATCATACGCTTCTAAAGGAAGAGTCTGACAAAGGCGTTGACAGACTGTTTCACTATCGGTACAAATGAATGTTGCTTTCAACACAGAAGCTAGTAGTAGATTTATTAATAAGTAATGGTAATGCTCAAAAGTGAATATGTGTACAGAAAGAGCATGAAATTCTCATTCTAGCTGACTACTTTTGTTTTTGTCCTGCGATCTACAAGTGCAGTAAAATCGACCAGAGATGTCGCGCAAAGACTTTTTAAACGTAGGTCATTCAGAGAAGGTGATAGCGAGGATTATGAGAAGACTTTCACCCTTACTCTCACCATCAATGCAGTCATAAATGAAGATCTGACGAATAAATTTCTCGTTTCTGATAAGCAATATAACTTTTCCCATTGCCAAATAATGCTAGTTTCTTATCTCATGAGCTGTAATGTGTGCGAGTAAAAAGTGTCATCTAAAGCAATTTAGAGAAATCGTTTTATTTTCCAAATACATTTGCAAACCAAACATTACAACAGCATTTCTGTTCGCTTATGTATTAAACCATCCATCTATTTATGGGCATTTTTCGATTTCTTGACCGTGAATTTGAATTTACCACAGAAGAGAGGTTGCTCACGTGGTGTATCTCGCTCATAGGCCGTCAGCTTGAGAGAAAAGTCGCCAGGTTGAAAAAGGACGAATACTATCGATGTAGGCTCAATCATATCAAACATCTGATGATGAAGCTCGACTTCTTGAATCGGCACTGTAGTTGCAGGGCATTTTCTGTTGAGACCGAGAAGATTAAAGACAGGTAACATTATGTGGAAACTTGAACAATTCAAAAATAGGCGATTCTTTGTGATTCTACACATACGTATAGAAAAAAAGGAAGTCAGAATAAGATCCGAATAACTCATCTGATGTTTTCCAGCAATGAGTAATTCGTGAATTGACACAGACGATCGCCGACATAATTGCATGAACCAAGCGGTATGCCATTCATGACATAGCATTTAACGAGAAGTGTAACGCCGCCAATCGTGCGATTCATATCAAAAGACATTTCAAACGTGGCTGTGTGAGAATCAATTGTTACTTATATTCATCTTCTCATACATACATCACTTGCTTATGGGCCGCTTCGAGTCGCCGCCAATGATATATTGGCAATGCCCAGAATATAGATCGGCATTGGTTTAACATCAATCTGATGGATGACAAGAGCGGTGGAGTCACAATCAGTGAATCCGAACTTATTGTAAACGGCTCCAACGTTACCCATTATCATAAAGACAACGATGAAAAGAATTATCAATGGAGCATACATCACGATGCAAGTATGTAATAGTTACAAATATGTGCTATAATCTATCAAAGAAAACGGTATCTATATTTTATGTATACGCAGGTGTTTCATTAGAGCAGCTTGTGTTCTAACCTGCAGATTTTAAGCCCTTCGCTATCCACAATATAATTCCTACTGCTTGTCATTTGAGTATCACAGTGGGTAGCTGGAATATTGATTGTTAAGCCTGCTTTCATGTATCTCGTACTGAATCTAACACTACAATTCAAAAGTTGTGAAAAAGTTTCATTCATGAACTCTTATGAATATATTTGTCAAACATCCCTCGGTCTATCAAAACATGATTCACTACGATATCGTCTACGACAGTTTATGCTGATAAAACGCTCCATTTCCGGTAGCATACGGTAGTAGTAAGGTCCATTATACCCCGATATTCAAGTGTTTTGATGGGCCCAGTAATACAGGGGTAGCTGTGCGTACAGCAGGGTCGAAATCGTATGATGATCAACGGTTTCACTGATTCCTTCGTGATTTCAATCGAAAATCACGATCATATGGTTGATTTTTCTGGTAGATCGGTTGCATTCATCGCGGATGAGTGTAGTCAATGTCTCGTATAATAAAAAAGATTGATACTTACCGTTCATTGGAACATTGAGTTTAATTTAAAGCAAAGAAAGAATAAATAAAATCCACAAACTAATACTTATTGCACATTTGTACATAAATATTG